CTCGCCCCGCTCGATACTGGTTTCTGGCCATATTGATCTCAGCTTCTTCGGCGGTGATATACTATTCATGTAGGTGATTCGGTGCACCTCGGGCCATGCAGGCATTGTATAGATCATCACTCAGTCCATCCTTGAAACAGCTCACCAAAATATCTTCCGGCCAGTGCACACGACACCTGAGGTCCCAGAATTCTTCAATATATTCTGCTACTGGCCATCGCCCCTGCTTCACCACCTTAATGCAGTTGCGTGCTTTGTGATCTGCCAGCCTGACTGACTAGCCTTATCACCAAGCATGCCACCCAGCAGACATGAAAGAAAAGACCCTGAGATGTACAAGTAAAGACTAAAAGACTCTTTTCAAGCCACAGAAGACAGCTGGAAAGATTGGGGGGTGGGGGTGGAAATTCATTGTAAGGTTTTTTTCTTGTCTCATTTATACAGTATAATAATCAGTCTAATGTACTCATGTAAGGATTGTATTTGAGAGTGGCTGGCACAGCAAGTTCTGTACACCTTGGATGTCTATCTGGTGGGAAGAAAATTGTCCAAAATGTCTGTATTGCCTGTACTGTAAAAGTAGCTACATACACATACACACAGAGACAGACACACCATTCAGAATTAAACTGAAACTATTCCCTTCATTTACCTCTACACAAAGCTTCTCCTAGGTTGATTTTTGCTCTGTGGCACTAAAAGCCCAAGGAGTCATATCTCACTGCTAATTCCATGGGGGAGGGGGCAATCCCCCAGGCAATCCCCTCACTTGAAGAGATAGCAGAAAAAAGTGGTATCCAAAACCCAAGCCCTGACCGTGACTCACAAATGATGCCGCCAGTTGCCCAGTAAAGAAAGATATGTTGCACTGGTGGTTCAAAGCTCAGAGAGGGCATAAAACTAAGGCACGCTCAGCATCTTCGCTGTTAGATTGGCGCAGGGAAAGGAAGACGTGACTAGCGTTGGTCCATTCAGTACCTTTATTTCAGCTCTGAATGAAGGCGGACGGCTGTGCTGCCAAAGCTCTTTTATACGCTTCGGCAGACTCAGCCGTCCAATGACAGCTGTTTGAATTTCCCGCTGGTGGATTAGCCAATCCCCAGCGGATGTCCTTATAAGGACATAATACCCCTCCCCTCCTAGTTCGATGTCTGTCTATCAACACTAATGAATGTCACGTAGTCACACAGATAGGCGGGACGCTTGATGGTCCTGGCTGACCTGCGCAGTTCCATTTGGGTTTCGCCGCCGGCCGGAGCAGGCAGAGCTCCTGTCCCCTCCGGCTCTCGATCCGGAAGGGTCTGGGGTCTGGCCGTCGAGTGTGTGGGCCCTGTCCCAGCACCTCCGGCCGCATCGTCTGGATTTACCCGCTGGTGGCACTGGTCCTTCCCCTGACCGGGATCCCTGGAACCTCACGGCTGGGCATTGCTGTCGACCCGGGGGTGACGACTGATGTCCGGTAAATCCATTTTATTCTCCTTGGCCCCTTGCAGCTTCTGTTGGTGGCTCTGTTGTCTCAGCTGTTGTTGTTGTTGTTGCTCTTGCGTGTCGGCTTGTCGTGGTGGGTGGCTGACCCCGCCGGGGGGTCGCCTGTCTACCATGTCGGGCTGGTGCAGGTCGACCTCACTGGGGTGGTGTTGGTCGACCCTGCTGGTGTGGTGATGGTGGTCTCCCTCATGGGGGAGTCGTTGGCTGGCTCTGCGGGGGCGTTGTGGGTCTGGGTTGTCCCCGGTCTACTATCTTGCATCGGTGGTGGTCTCCCTCGCCGGGGTGTGGCCGGTCGCCCTCACCAGGGGGTTGCGGGTCTCCCTCTGTGCGTTGTCCCTTCGTCGTGGAGGTGGAGGTCTCCCTCGCTGGGGTGGCGAATGGCCTCCTCGTCGGCGCGGTGCTGACTCCCCTCAGGCTGCGGGTACCGGTCTACTCCCTTGGATCGGCGATGGCTTGACTTGCTGAGGTGGTGCGGGTCTATCTCGCCGGGGTGTCACCGTCCTTCCTCGCTGGGGAGCGGCAGGCCTACCTCATCGGGGTGTTGTAGGCCTACCTCGTCAGGCTGGTTTCCTTCCGCTTCCCTCCACCTTTTCCGGAGCTGGTCGATGTGACGTCTACAGACCTGTCCATCTTCCAGCTCCACTCTATAAGACTTCAGGCCGGTTGTGCTCTCAATTCTTCCTTTCAGCCATTTCGGAAACCCGTGGAAATTGAGCGCGAAGACCGGGTCTCCTATGGCAAAGGTGCAGGGGGTGGCGGCTGGCAACTGATGGCACCTCCTGGTTGCACAGGGGGTGCAGCCGGTCCAGATGTGACCTCAGTCTTCTGCCCATCAGCAGTTCGGCCGGGCTCTTGTGCGTCGTTGAGTGCGGCATGATGTGTTGAGTGAGGAGGAACTGGTCGATCCTCTCCTGCCAGTCGCCGGTGCCCATCTTGGTGAGAGCTTCTTTGGTAAGCCTCACCATCCTTTCAGCTTGCCCATTTCCGGCCGGTCTGTAGCAGGCAATCATGGCATGGCGGATGCCCAGTCCTGCCAGGAACGTTTCCATGGGCTTGGATGTGAGCTGCGGCCCATTATCGGAAATGAGGACATCCAGTAGCCCGTGCGTGGCGAATAGTCTCCGGAGTGCCTTGGTGGTGGCTTCTGTTGTTGTGGATGCCATGGGCACGACCTCCAGCCACTTCGAGAAGGCATCCACGACGATGAGGAGGTATCTTCCGCTCATCGGACCCACAAAGTCTATGTGGATTCTCGACCATGGATTGCTGGGAGCCTCCCACTCTGTAGACTGGGCGCGGGGTGGCGCTGGGCGGACTTCCTGGCACGGGTCACATCTGGCACCAGGTCTCTATATCCTTGTCCAGGGTTGGCCACCACACATAGCTTCGTGCCAGCCCCTTCATGCGAACGATGCCTGGGTGCCCCCTATGCAGAGTCTCTAGAGTCTTATTTTGGAGTGAACTGGGAATCACGACCCTGTCGCCCCACAGGAGGCAGCCTTTCATAGTGGCCAGTTCTTGCTGCTTTCTGGCAAATGGGGCGAATTCTGCCATCTTCCCCGTGGGCCACCCGCGCAGAACCCAAGATAGTACCTGCTTGAGCGTTTGGTCCTTCTGGGTCTGTGATGCCATGTCTGTGGAGGTGACTGGGCAAGCGAGGTCATTGTCAATGTGGAATAGTCCAAGTGTGGGGGCTGGGTCTTCCACCGGCTCCTGGGATGGGCACCTACTCAGGGCATCAGCATTTCCGATGGTCTTGCCGGGTCTGTGGGTTAGGGTATATGAGTACCCGGCAAGGAAGATTACCCAGTGTGTCATCCTGGGTGACATGTAGCTTGGTGTGGGTTTGTCGCCTGCAAATAGTCCCAAAAGTGGCTTATGATCTGTGATAACTGTAAAGTTCTGGCCATACAGGTACTCATGGAAGCGCTTGATGCCCGTGATGATGGCCAAGGCTTCCTTGTCCAGCTGACTATAGTTCCTTTCGGTGCTGAACATCGTTTTTGAAAAGTAAGTGATGGGCGCCTCTGTTCCATTTGGGAGTTGGTGACTGCTCCAATCCCGTATGGTGACGCGTCGCAGGTCAGCAGGAGGGGCAGCGTCTCGTGATATTGCATTAGGACGCTGTCTGAAGAGAGCAGTGTTTTGATGTTTTTGAAGGCTGTTTCCTCCTCTGTCCCCCATCTCCACGGTACCGCTTTCCCCAACAGGCGATGGAGTGGTTCAGCAGCTGTGGCTTTCTGTTTTAAAAAGACACTGTAAAAATTCAGTAGTCCCAAGAAAGCCTGAAGCTCCGCTTTGTTTTTGGAGGCCGGAGCTTCGTGGATAGCCTTAACTTTAGATTTGGTGGGGTGGATGCCAGTTCCATCAATGAGATAGCCCAGGAACTCGACCTCCTGGACCCCAATGATGCACTTATCTCTCCTGACTGTCAAACCCTTCTCCTTAAAGCGCTGTAGAACTAGCTTCAGTCGCTCAAGTAGCTGGGTTTTAGAGTGGCCGGAGATTAAGACATCATCAAAGTACGGCACCACCCCTGGAATGCCTTGAAGAAGGTGTTCCATCATAGATTGAAAAATTCCTGGGGCTGCATTGACTCCAAATTGGAGACGGTTACATTTAAATGCGCCCCAGTGGGTGACAATTGTTGTGCCTCCACTGTTTTTTCATCTACTGGCAGTTGCTGGTAAGCCTGGGCCAGGTCCAGTTTGGCAAATATTGACCCACTCCCTAGTGAATGCAGCAGATGTTGCACCACTAGAACTGGGTATGCGCTCTGTTGCAAAGCCTTGTTGATTGAACATTTATAGTCGGCACAGATGCGCACAGATCCATCATGCTTCATGGGGGTAACATTGGCCCTTTTTTTTTATTAGAAATTTTATTATTGCATCTCGGCCCTTTTCTGTTCAGGAACTCAAACCATGTGATCCTGTCCACCATTAAACCATCTTTCCAAGCAGTCTCCATGTTTCCAGTGTCTTTTTCCCCACAGGAGCTGAACCCAGAAGGATATTTCTTCTAATAAAACTATGGGGACCTCAAGGAAGCATAAGATATCTCAGTGGCTTGGGGGAGAAGTTGGGTGGTTGGAAGCAGGTAGCCTCTTCCAGCACTTGGCCCTCCATGGTCATACCACCCTGAGATACCTCATGTACACTTAACAACCTGTGCATTTAATTAATAAATGATCCATTCATTTAATGTGAGCCAATCAATAAATTCTCAAGTTATGAATGTAATTCACAGGCTCTACTACATTTGTAACTTGAGGATTACCTGTACTGCATTCTAATCATTGCAAAAAAAATAAAAAATAAGATAATTGAGAAATATATGTATTAAATCAGTAACATTAAAGAGATTATTGATTAATCCATATGTCACTAGAAAATATTTTAGGACACTTTATTTCTATGAATCATGTACTTTTCCCCTCTACACCTATACAAAGAAATCTAAGGCTCTGGAAAATTCAAATGACAATTGTTATATCTGGAGTACTATTAATACATTTATTTAATTATAATTTATTTTTCAACCATAAAATGGACAAAGTGTAGTCCTGGTCTATTCAATAGTAAAGAAAATGATAAAAAGTAACTTTAAAAATTAATATTTACTAGTATCAAATACCGGTAATAATATCAATATTGCCTGAAATACAAAGAAACAAGCAATGTATCTATATAAATTTTAATTAAGAACCTTGCATTGTAAACCAGATGATACAGTATATAGTTAATTGTGCCAATAACTGTTGGTAACTGAATATTTCAGTAAAATTTGTACAGCTGTATAGAACAATGAAAATCTGGGATTAGTTCATTAGTCTGAGTGATGAAATTTTGCTCAAGTGTATTGCAGCTTAAATTAAATACATGTGCTTTCATTTTTCAAATGTTATCCATGCAAAAAATATCTACTTTTGATATTTTTATCATGTGTTAGAAATTCATTAGGCAGACATGCATTTTGGCAAAAAGAAAGAAACAAACAAACAAAAATTGTGAATGTAAGTTATATAAAATATGAGATACCTTGCATAAAAGTGAACCAAAACAAAATATATAGAAGACTCCCAAAGACATTAGTTTCTTATGCATGAACTTTAGTTTCTTCAAATAAGTATATAATTATGAATAACATTTATTAATCTTCTAACATTCAGTTAAAAAGAAATTATCCTTTGACCTACTGTTTAAAAAAGTTTTAAACTATAACAAAAGTAAAACATTGATAAAATATTGATATTTTGCATGAAGAGTCTAGAGTTTTAAAATGTAAATATATAATACAAAGTCATACAAATTAAAGAACGAGTGTAAAGTACTGACAGATCTGTTCTTGCTTCACATGGATGGTATCATTATGGGCATCTACAATATCAGTTCTAAAAAGTTAAATTCTATTTCTAAATCAGCTAGCAAAGCTCTGCTAATAAAATAATGACTCCAAGTTTATAATACTGGAAGCATCAGACACTTGCACTATTACTTGAGCCAATGATTCAGTATAACTTGAGCAGTTTTTTTCTTTTAATTCATATCAAATTCTCAATACACCATAGTTTCTGAAAGAAGTAAGTATTCCTTTTTTAAAAATTTAAATACCGCATAGAACAAACAGTCAGAACAAAGACATTCTTTATCTTTTGTGGGAACCCTAAATTTGAAAACATATTTGAAGGAAACAATATTTGAGCTCTATTTTTGAATTGTAATGAATCTATCTCTTGGGATAATTAAATTGGGAAAATTGGATTAGGACATTACAACTCTTATTTACAACTCTAGGAAGTAAAACAATGTTAATTTATTGGAAAATGCAAATCATTTTCCTCCAGGTTGGCCTTCACTAAAAGAAAGCCATATGTGTCTCAGAGGGAAAAAAAATCCTTTCAGATAGATTTTGTTAACTGCTAATGTGTTTTCTTTTTACTGCATATTTATTTATTATTACAGCATTTGCTTTGATTTTTAAACATTATTTTAAATACTATACTCATGTCAATATTTATGCAATCAGGTAATTACTTTTCAAATTTCCATATTTATAATGAGCAAAATAAGGTGTCTGCAATATTAAAATCTAAATTATGTATTTGGATAGAAGTCAATTTATTCAAATGTGGCAATTACATTTAGATAAAATACTAAAAGTAAATTTGTTTATATAGCTATTGTGGGAAGAAATATCCATCTGGTTCAGTTCCAATCCAGGAGAAAGGCACTGGAGACAAAATGGAGGCTGGAGGCTGATTGAAAAGAGGGCCCATTTATTGATGACTAGGACCACATGTTTGTGGTTCTGGTGCAACTGACATAATGGAGTTGAGAGTGAGGGGTTTTTATACTTTCTCTTGGGCTTTGCACTTGAGCTCTTGTTCCTGTTTAAGAACATGTATTCTATTGGTTGTTGTCAGACCCCATGGTGCCATGTAGGGATTATTTAAGGGTTATAGCTGGCTCTATAGGCAAAGTACAAATCCTAGGTGTTTGTCTGAGCTAAGTTTGGTTGAAGTTTGGACTGCAATAATGGGTGATGCAATAATTCCTATTTTGGCTTAATGGCTTTTGTCTTGTTTTGGATCTTGAGTGAGGACTAATCCTATCTTTGTTCAGACTTTGCTGCAGGGAATTTCAAAATATTCTGTCTTCAACGGATTACCAAATCTGCATTTCTAAAAGCTGCCTCCCCAGTATCTGCTTGGGGGCAGGGAGCTGGGGCTCTGAGTTTCTGACTTCCTTAAGATTTTTTATTTCTCTTTTGGGGGAAATATTTTATTCTGCCTTTTTTAATATTCCTCAAAATATTTCATTCTTCGGGGGGGGGGTGATTCCCACACTAGTAAGATAATTTTACATCAAAATAAACTTCTCTGTGATTTGCATTATTTAAAACAATATGTTGAGTTAAATTTCCATTATATAATTAAGGTACTGGAATCCTTTGCTGTTAATACTTATTAATAGATCCAGAAATAAAATCCTTAACTTGCATCCTGGTGTTTTCAATCCATTTATTTACTTCAAGTTACAAAAGCTGTAAAATGAGTGCAATGCTTTTGCTTTGACTGTATCTTTAAAAACCTGAAAAGTCATAAATGACAGGGGCCATTAAAAAAAAACGCAGTACACAAAACAGATAGGATAGTACCGACAGACGTAGTTGCTTCTACATATACCACATACAATCAATTTTTCAATCTCTATTATGTTTTCACAATTTATTATGAAAGTTAAAGCACCTATGTGTGGTGATTTTATTTTTACTATACAGCTTACATTATTAGATTTAACACTACACTGTAACTTGCCCCATTGGACCGAATCATGCAACTGTTGCAGATCAGCAGAAGTGTTTCATAAGGCATAATCGAACATGTTAAAAAATATTCCTCAAACTTTCAAAACTTGAGTTGCTTGATGAAGGAATTTCTAGGTGTCTCAGTCCTTGAAGTTCCATAGTTAAGTCAGGAAGATAATTTACTTGGAAGTGTAATTTATTTGGCTTAGGACAATGCCTCAAGAAATCGAAAAAAAGAAGAATTTCTTTTAGGTTCAGTCCTTTGCACTAAACTGAGGACATGTTCAGGTACATTCAGAATTCCAAAAAGATAAGGATACCAAGGGCAGGCAACAATAAACCAAGACAGCTAGGTAATATTCCAGCAGCAGCTCCTGAAAAATCAAACAGGTTTACATTTTATACAAAAGATTGAAGATTAAGGAAGATTACAAGTAAAACAGAGATGTTCTAAAGATTCTTCCCCAAATTGTATTCTCTGAATTGTGATAGTCAGATATTTTCTAATTATTTGCTAAACCTTGTCCTCTGTGTGATTTCAAATTAGACTTTACTCCTGACAACTACACAGACAAGCTCCTGCAGTTTGTTTTTCTTGACAACATTTTTGGGAAGTGGTTTTCCATTGCCTTCTTTCTAGGGCTCGGAAGAGTGACCGCCCCAGGATCAATATCAATAATGAACTATCAATATCAAATTGTCAGTTTTGGATTTTCTTTTCCTGAATGATAATATCAGTAGCAGAACATTGCTAAGATTTAAATCTAACCATTATTATACCGTTAATACTCTGAAAGATCCTCAGCTCCTCAGAAGAATGTGGATCCCTATCAGACCTGGGGGGTCATTATCCAGCATTACATCATCAGATAATCAGATTATTTTATAATCTGTTCACGTAGTTTTCTCAGTAAAATAAAGTAGAATAGGTTTATCCCATGTAGTATGAAACAATGCCTTTGTTATTGCCCCTAAAGTGATCATCCATCTCCAATACCTTCTATATTGCTGCCCAATATAGGTGTCTACTTTTTTTTTTTGGTAGGATGACCCTCATACCTCATGGGACTCTGCTGGTGGCTTCGCCATCAGCATTCTTTGTTCAGCCCTTCTAGGAACAACCACACAATAAGGAAGAATAGCAAGATTTTAGGAAGGGGATTATTAGTGAAAAATTGCTAATTTGCTTCTCTCAACCACTAAAATGTATATTTATGATATATTAGCTAGAAAACAAATAAAATATTTTTTGTTAGACAATTATTTGAAAATAAATGACTACTGTACATATTTATTTATATTTTATATTTCTTGACCAATTATCACCACTATATAAAAGACACCAGGAAATACTGTTAAAATTTTAAACCTTAAACTTAGCTAAATATTAAAACACTTAAACTATAGAAAAAAAATAACATCTTTCATACAGTTTCATTTTTTCATATACATACCTGGAATTTTTACGTGAGCTACTTCTCCATCTCCCCCTTCACTATGGACCCGAACTTCAACAATGTACTGACCTTTAACAGGTGCAGGAACTTCTATATAATGGTTACCGGTCTTAAATAGTGTGCCATTAAATTGACCATCTGGTCTATAGAGCACCTTTTAGAGAATAATAAAAAAATAGCATTGTTAAATTCACAAACATCATCCAACAAATTAATACTCCAGGTCATTATTTAAAAAATCAGGGCAAAATATTTATAAATGCTGTCTTGAATCAATATGTTATTACATTTTATATACATTTTTGTAAATAAAAGTGAAAAGCTTCCACTCCTTTTTTAAGGCTTAGGGAGAGAACATTAGTAAATTATATTTAAGTAACCTGTCAGCCTCCACTCTTTTGATGCTTACTTGCTCGGCTGCCATGGAAACGGGGGAGGGGGAGCTAGGGGATTCTTGGGGGGGAAGCGTGCTGGAGGAAAACGAAAGTGAATCTTTGCTGCAGTTCTTTCTTTGAAGTTGATATGTTTCAAGGTCAACGGTCGGGGCATACCAAGAGGATGACACTGCCTGACGTGTGCTCCCACATGATCTCTGGAGGACCTGTGGATTGGATGATTTACGCTGGACAGTTGGGAGGGGATGCTTTCTATATGTGATTTTCGCGCCTATGCTTCAGATATTGCTTTTCTATGGTTGCATTCAGTTCATACTCAGTAAAAGTACCTTTCTCTATGAAAATGGAGTCGGGGTTTTTCTTTCCTGAGTATTGAAAGGAGGCACACCTGACATAACTGGTATATTTAAATTTTCTGTTGTTTCTGTGGTGTAAGCAGAGCAAGTAGTAATGGGCAAAGAGGATGGGCTCTACCAGGAAATCAAATCATTAATTTCCTATATATGATCACTGGGAATAGGAAACAATGGTGGTATTACATACGAACAGCATTAACCAATTACCGTTATGAGAAGTCAACAGCAACACTTCCACACTTCATATGAGGATATAATTGCTTCCATCTTATATGAGGATATAAGATGGAAGCAATTATGCCCTGTCTCCTTTATGGTTCATTCTTTTTCTGTGCTCTGTAGACCATTGTTCCTAATGTTTCCTTCTTGCTGAAATAAAGAAAGTACCAAATAGATTGCCTCAGCCATCGCTGCTTACACACTGTGAGGGATGTCCAACCTTGACAACTTTAAGACCTATGGACTTCAACTCCCAGAATTCCCCAGCCAGGACCCCTGGTTTACACTGATCTCCAGTCTGTTTCCTTCTTTCCACCACTGAAAAGAAGTGACATGTATGTCATCATACAGAAGATGAATCAGCTCTGAGCATAATAGATACTAATACAAAAGTTGATTGATTACTCTTACACTTATTAGTGTAAGAGAATAAGAACTCATAGGTATGTTTCTCTGCCTTATAGCTATTTTTATATCTTGTCAAGGCTCATATTAGAAGGTAATTTCTAAGAATTAGCTGAATTATCAATATAATAGATCTTGAGAGAAATTTCATAACGGGTGTCCGTTGTCCCCACTTTTATTTATTCTAACATTAGAAGTCTTGCTAAATACAATACGGGACTCTAATATCTTGAAAGGTATAATGATTAGGCAAGAGGATTATAGAATAAAGGCATTTGCAGATGATCTGGTTGTTACCCTATCACAACCAATGGAATCAATAATCTTGATGAAGGACATTATACAAGACTATGGTAAAGTTTCAGGTTTTAGACAGAATCCAAAAAAGACTAAAATGATAGCTAACAATATGACACAAGATCGCAAACATGAGCTAGAAAGGAGGGCAGGTTTTGAGACTGTACCTAAGGTAAAATATATAGGAGTTCAGGTTGCAGAATCAAACATGAAATTGTTTCAAAATAATTATGAGGTGTTGTGGCGAGAGGTGCAGAAAGACATGGAGATTTGGAAAAAACTGCAGCTGTCTCTACTTGGAAGAATTGCAGCAGTTAAGATGAACATTTTGCCAAGATTTCTTTTTTTGTTTCAAATGATTCCGGTGCTCAAAAGTGATAAACAATTGAAAGTCTGGCAAACTGGTGTGAATAAGTTTGTCTGGAACGAGAAAAAGCCGAGAGTGAAATTGAAAATTATGCAAGATGTTCCAGAAAGAGGAGGTCTTAAACTTCCAAACCTACAGTTATATTATGATGCAGCAGCTTTAAATTTAACAAGTGATTGGTTTGGAAGGAAAAAGACTGGAATATTGAATGCAGAAAGTTTTGATCTCGAATTTGGATGGCATGCTTACTTATTTTATGATGACAAAGTTGATAAAGTATTTAAAAGTCATATACTTAGAGACTCTTTGATGAGAGTTTGGAAGAAGCATCGACTCAAATGGGATTATAAAATACCGCTTGGTCATACTTTGTGGAATACAAATATAATGTCACTCGGGGGGTTTTTATACAAAGAGGTTCTTTTTACAGATGCGGGCAGATGGCAGCTGAAGACATTGCAGACACTGTTGGACGAAGGGATTAATTTAACTTGGTTACAATATAATCAATTACAATTGAGATGGAAAGAGGACCAAAAAACTGGTATTATGTTGCACGAGGAAGAATTGGTTAGACATATAAGAGAGAAAGGTCCAATGCATATCAAAAGGCTTTATAATGTTTTGCTAGAAAGGGACTCAGAAACTGAATTAGTTAAAGACTGTATGATTAAGTGGGCACAAAATTTTGAAGAACCAGTGATGTTGGAAACATGGGAAAAAATTTGGGTTCAGAATGTTAAATTTACACAGTCGCAGAACCTGAGGGAAAATTTCTATAAAATGTTTTATAGATGGCATTTAGATCCCAAAAAGTTGTCATGTATGTACCCTAATGTTCAGCCAAAATGTTGGAGATGTGAATGTTTGGATGCTACGTATTATCATGTTTGGTGGACCTGTAGGAAAGTTAAGGCTTTTTGGATAAAAATTTGGTGGGTCATGCAGAATGTTTTGAAGAAAAAAATTCAATTCTCTCCACAATTGTTTTTATTGGGTATAGTTAAGGGTTTTACATCGGGTGAAACAAAATTGATATTGTATATGATAACAGCAGCAAGATTGTTGATAGGCAAATATTGGAAAAATGAAGCTTTGCCCACTATTGAAGAATGGATTTTGAAGATGGCCAGTTTTGCAGAGATGGCGAAGATTTCAGCATACTTAAAAGATTGTTCACAAGAGACTTATGAATGGGAATGGAAAAGGTGGATAGAATATGTTCAGAACAAATATCAAACTAGAAAGTATCAAATAGCTTTTACTTGAAAATAATGTATTAGAAATATTTTAATGTAATGAGGTAAAGAGAAAAATTATACAGGGGAGGGAGGGGTTCAAGTTTATACTTAAGTGTCATATTAAGGGTTTTTTTAATGTGTTTTTTTTTACGAGTTATGAGTATATTATAGGGAAGTCTGGGGGGAGAGGAGGGTTAGGGAGGGTTGGGGAAGATGGGGAAGTTTGGGGGGGTGGAGGGGGGGAAAGGGGTGAAAATGTAATTGTAAAACTTTTGCAATAAAAAAAAAAAGAAAAGAAATTTCATAAGATTCCTGTATTCACTGGAACCAAAGTTTGCTTTTTATGGTCTAACTCTAAGATATCCTTTCTTAAATATCACTTAACTCTCTTCCTTTTAAATAGCAATTTACTTTATGAACACACAATTCAAATAGGGCAACAAAACAGCCAGTATTACCCAGTTATGCCCAAAAGGCTTAAATATCAATCTTACTTTATATCCTTTCACAGTAGATTCATTGGACTGTGACTTAACATGCTCCCATGTGATGATGTACTTTGAACCCGACCTTACAGCATTAATAATTCTTGGTTGCTGCCTTGGAGCTAAAAAAAAATAGCACATACCTTTATTCTAACCAGTACAATTAAATTTTATAAACATTATTCTCTCAGTCATACACATTTGTCTATTTATGTCCCCAAGTAAAATTCAGAATGATATCATCTACTATCTACTTCCCATTCTGATTTATACAATTATTCATAGCTTCCTCTTGCTTAAAAATTGTCACCAAATCTTATGCAGCTACTGTCCAGCATTTGCAGACCACGTCACAGTGATCTATGGAAGAGAAGCAAAACTATGCAGCCAAGATGATACTGTTCACACCAGAGGTTTGTGTATCTACCAATATGCATAATTTACCATCAATGACTGAGTACATTTAGACAAACTGGCAATTCCATATGAAAAAAATTAATTTAAGGTAATTAAAACATTACAATATCCACAAACCAAAAATGGACTATTTCAAGCTCCCAGACATTTTACATTGAGCTCATCCTTGAACAAGGAGTTTTAAGACAAATTGTGTTGTCTGATGAAGTCTACAGATATAAGTTTCCTTTATTCTATGTCCATCTGATATTATCTTTACTATTCATCTCCATCTCCTACTTTAGATACTTACGTGCTTTTTCTGTAACAAAATCCAAAGGATAAGTGTAAGGTCCAATGCCAGCTGCATTGAAAGCTGCAACTTTTGTATAGTATTTTGTATAAGGTTTCAGGTTTTCTAACATTACTGAAAAATTCCGACTGCTCACTTGCACTCTACTTGCAGCTATTTCTTTTTCACTGCTGGACCAGTAACTGATCTGTAAAAATGAAAAAAAAAGTCAAATGTAAAAGGAAATATATATTTGAAATAATTACTCCTAATTATTTCAAAAGCAATGGAAACTTATATTTAAAAACATACCAGATTTTAGAACTAACTCAGCAGGAGAAACAGAAAAACTAAGATTCTCAGTCTGTAAGGACCTGCCCCGCTGCCCTAGCTGGTCCCTCAGAAAAGCAAGACTCTTGACTCAAGAATCATAAAAACTTTTACTGAGAGAGTGTGGTTGCAGTATAGTCAGGTCGAATCTGAAAAAGCCCACGCAAAGTACAAAGCAATTCTTTCATCCCCAAACCAACCCCCTGGCCAGTCCACCAGCAGCCAATGTGATGCCGCAAGGTTGTTTTGAGAACTCTGAGGTGTTAGGCAGATAATGGTCCACTCTCAGGGTATGACGGCCTTGAAACCAGGCTGGAACCAGCTGAGAGGAAGTTTGCTCTGTCTCAGAAGACAATCCCCCTCCCTAATTCCAAAGAGTTATAGCAAAAGCAAAAGCATGAGAAAAATGCCAGCAAGCCATTCTTCCCACCCCCGCCCTGCTTCAAACAGAATGGCAGGATATGATGTAGAAATGACACAATCATCCAGAAGCAAAATGTTTTCAAGGAAAAGAACAAGAAAAACCAGTTACCTTTTAAATAGCATCTTTCGGACAGCCCCAAAGATGCTGTTTAAAAGGTAACTGGTTTTTCTTGTTCTTTTCCTTGAAAACATTTTGCTTCTTATCCAAGAAGCTTCTTGACTTCAGAACTGAAGAAGCTTCTTGGATGAGAATCAAAACATTTTCAAGGAAAAAACTAAGAAAGTCCATTTGCTTTTTAAACAGCATCTTTCGGTCATAGAAACTGGTAGGACATTTTTTTCCTGGAATACTCTTTACTCCCAGCAACTCCACTATTTAGATTGAATCCTTTTGGAGGAATCACTTTAGAAGAGTCATTACAACCTTGGTAGAGGGGCATGCATGCATGCATGAGCAAAATGATTGGGGATCTTCCCAAAGCAAGAGCCTGGAGCTGTTGGGAGAAAGCTTTAAGTCACCCAAGGCTTCCTAAAGATAGAACAAACACTGGGAAGTAATAGCCAAAGGGAAGTGATTTTCACTCCAGGGATATATCCAATTTGCCAGGTAAGTAATGGTGTAAGATTTCCTGCTTCTTTGATATTTGGCTAAGAGATTCTAGGTGGGCGAGTACAGGTCCTCTACTTACAACAGTTCATTTAGTGACCATTCAAAGTTACAATGGCACTGAAAAATGTGACTTATGACCGTTTTCAACCTTTGTAGCATCCCCATGATTATGTGATCAAAACCAGATGCTTGGCAACTGGTTCATATTTATGACTGTTGTGTCCCAAGGCTATGTGGGCCTTTGTGACCTTTTGACAAGTAAAGTCAATGGGGAAACCAGATTTACTTAACAACCAGGTTACTAACTTATCAACTGTAGTGATTCACTTAACAATTGTGGCAAGAAAGGTTGTAAAATGGGGCAAAACTCACGTAACAACAGAAATTTTGGGCTCAATTGTTTTAAGTCAAGAACTACCTCTATACTTTCCTTTTGGGCTCAGTTGTGTAAGTCAAGAACTACCTCTATACTTTCCTTTTAAAATATTTTACTGATTTAGAATACAATAGAATAGAATATAATTCTTTACTGGCCAAGTGTGACTGGACACACAAAGAATTTTTCTTGGTGCATATGCTCTCAGTGTACATAAAAGAAAAATTACATTTGTCAAGAATCATAAGGTACAACACTTAGTGATAGTCAAGCAATCAAATCATATTAGGAAACAGTCAAAATAAATTGTAAGGATACTAGCAACAAGTTTACAGTCATAAGTGGGAAGAGATGGGTGAAAGGGATTTATTAGTACAACATCTCAGAAGTGATGGGGAATAGAAAATTTGGTTTTGGCAGGTTGACAGGAGAAAAAAGTTTGTACATTTAAGAGTTATTCCTCCTCCTGCCAGTTGTTTCAGGTTGAGAACAGGTTGGCTCATACACCTAATGTCTCCTTTTACTACAGGACTGTGGTTTGTACTAATCCTTTCAATAAGGCATTGCAGATAAAACCTCTTGTATTTAGCATGTCTAGATGACAACTATGGAAGTGTCAAGTAATTTCTTCTGAATGGGAGAATGAGAATGGGTCATAAGTCAGAAGCTACTTGTATTTCCATTATTGCATTTTCTGGTAATTATTTGTTTAATCATTTATGAATCACTATAGTATTTTTATATAGACAGAAACTTCAGGAATAGTAAAGGGCAGAAGTATCTAATTCTCCAAAGCTATTCTTGTATTTATAATTCATTTCAAACTCAGATACACTTTTTGACTATAAAAATAAATATGAATTAAATATCATGTTCAGTTCTTTTGTATCTTGTGGTATGAGTAATAAAAGAGAATGCATTTTTAAGCTCACCTCATACCCAGTAACAACTGGATTGAAAATGTGCTCCCAGGAAACAGAAACTTCCATGGATGACAGAACTTTTATTTTCACATTTCTAGGCCTTTCAGTAGGAGCTGGAAAATTGAACAGAATATTAATATTGTGAATCCAATATTCTGACTAATGTAGAGTAAATAATCAAGGATTTCCAATTATTTCATTTGGTGTTTTCTTTGGCAGTGTGGTCAATATTTCTTCCAGTTTCTAGTCTGGTGCCTTTAGCAACCAGATTAAGTCATCTGGGTGACTTTGGGCCAGTCACTTGCCCTTAGCCCTAGGAAGAAACAATGGCAAGCCACTTCTGAAATTATGGCAAGAAACCTGCCAGTTTTATCTTTCATTTTGTTTCTACTTAAGCAAGTTGCCTTGAACTCTGAAAAGGAGATTTATGAACCATTTAAAATAATCAAATACCAAACCTACTGTATGTAAATTTTAAAAAATGTGTGAATATATAAATTCACAAAATTCCTGATTCACAAAATTCCTGATGTTTTCCCCAAAATAAGACATCCCCAATAATAAGACCAATCAGGCTTTTGAGCGCATGGCAATAAGGCCAAGCGCTTATTTCAGGGTTCAAAAAAAATATAAGACAGGGTCTTATTTTTGGAGAAACATAGTAGTTTCTCACTAACATCATAAAGAAACGAAGTACTAGTATATTGCAGAGAGAGAGATATAGATGTTTTTATGAAATAACCATTGATTAGGCATTGAATGAATAATTCTTTTTTTAGTATCCAAATTATGTATCTAAATGTGCAGTGATGGTTAGGTGCAATTATTGAATTTCCCCAAGTGCCTAAAATGTGTGGTTTATTTTTTGTTATAGACAGAATAAATGCAAACAGTTTGGGTGTCCTATAGTTTTGACTTTACTAGATCATTCATCACATACATACATACCACACACACACATATATAAAACTAATTTTTGAATTGCTTGTTGCATTTTGATTAATTCAAGATTAACTACATTAATCAGATGCTGCTGCTCTATTTAAATATTTTTAAAAGAAAATATTAACCTACTCGTGAACACAATTCACTGAAGGCAGTCCAATGTCTATAAAAATTCATTTGTGATGGAAAGATCAACCGACCTTCTTGCGCTGCGAGACTCCCCCCTCTCGCAGGCCTGGCCCTCCATGTTATCGAGGGCCTATCTTGATGACGGGCTTTGGGACCCCGAGAGATGGCATGCAGCAAAGAGGGGGTTGAGGGGTTTTTTAGCTAAATTTTTAAGGAAAATTTTAAGGGGACCCGGGAGGGCGGGTGGGGGTTGTAAAAGTGGACCTGGGGGGGTCCAGATAGCGACTGCGCGGGATGATGGGTCGATTAGCTGCAGCAGAGGGGTCGCGAAAGGAAATTTAACCGGGGGGCAGGGGGACGATAGAAAGGGCTGTGTAATTGAAATAATGAGTGGGAGGGGCAGGTATGATGGGCGCAGGGGGTCATATCAAGTGTCGGGGGTACACACGCGCTGTCTCCGAGCGATTGTGCACTCCGGTCCCCAATGCGTGACTCGTGTCCTGGGTTGTGTAGAGCCTCAGGCCCAGGGTCCGCGGCTGATGTTATGTAATGCCAGGTCGGTGGTTAATAAAGCCCCCCTCATCTGTGATCTTATTTTGGAGGGGGGTGCAGACCTGGCAGGTATTACAGAGACCTGGTTGGGCCAAGAGGGGGGGTCCCCCTCGTCGAGATTTGCCCGCCAGGTTTCCGTGCATTTCATCAGCCAAGGGCCCAGGGGAGGGGTGGGGGAGTGGCGGTGATCATTAGGGAGAGTCTCTGTCCGAGGGAGACCACTGTTCCTCAGATAGCCGGATGTGAGTCCCTTTGTGTGAAGTGGGGCCGTGAGGTGCAGATGGGTTTGCTGACTACGTACCTGGCTCCCTGCCACGTGGCAGCGACCCTGCCCGAGCTACTCAACATCATTGCCGGGGTGGCGGTCGATACCCCCAGACTTATTGTCATGGGGGATTTCAACCTCCCATCCGCGGGTGAGGCGTCAGAGGTGGCTCGGGAGTTCATGGCTTCCATGACGGCCTTGGACCTGACCCAGTTAGTTCAAGGCCCAAACACATAGGGGGACACACTCTGGACTTGATTTTTATCTCTGGTCAGTGGTTGAATGATCTTGGTAGAGGGGACCTAGATATTAAACCCTTGTCATGGACAGATCATTCACTCCTTCAATTAGACTTTCCTACTGCCTGCCCCCCGCCGCAGGGAGACGGAACTGACCAGATGGTTCCGTCCCAGGCGCCTGATGGATCCCGAAAGGTTCCTGAAGGAGCTTGGGCCGTTTCCTGAGACTCTAACACACGACTCGACTGAAGAGCTGGTGGCCGCCTGGGAAAGGGTGGCCGCTGGAACTTTGGACCGCGTCATGCCTTTGCGGCCTCTGACCCGATGCCGATCTCAATTAGCTCCCTGGTTCTCTGAGGAGCTGAGAGAGATGAAGCGTCGGAAAAGACGCCTAGAGAGCATTTGGAGGACTAGTCAATCCGATTCCGACTGGACACAGATGAGGTCTTATATCAAGACCTACCTAGTGGCGATAAAAGCGGCAAAATCTAACCATTTTTCCGCTCTTATCGCATCTGCAGAGAACCGCCCAGTCGCCCTGTTTAGGGTGACCCACTCCCTTCTTCGGGGGGGAGTGCGGGAAGATCCCTTGCAGGGTCGTGCTGAGGATTTTGTGCAATTCCTGCACAATAAAGTCGCTCGGATTCGGGATGGCTTGGACTCCGATTGGATGAGTCCACGGGAGGAGACCAGGGCAGGTCTTGAGAATGTTATCTGGGAGGAGTTTGATCCTGTGACTCCCGAGGATGTGGACAGGGTTCTGGATAAGATTAGTGCCGCCACGTGTTTATTGGACCCATGTCCCTCCTGGTTGGTACTGGCCTCCCGGGAGGTTACACGAGGCTGGCTCCAGGGGATTATAGGTGCTTCTCTGAGTGAGGGTGCCTTTTCTGCCGCCTTGAAAGAGGCAGTAGTGAGGCCCCTCCTCAAGAAGCCTTCCCTGGACCCGGCTGAATTAGCCAACTATCGTCCAGTCTCCAACCTTCGTTTTGTGGCGAAGGTTGTTGAGAGCGTGGTGGCACGACAACTTCCCCGGCACCTGGATGAAGCTATCTATCTAGACCCGTACCAGTTGGGCTTCAGGCAGGGGTACAGCACAGAAACGGCATTGGTCGCATTGGTGGATGATCTCTGGAAGGCTCGAGACAGGGGTTGCTCCTCTGTCCTAGTCCTATTAGATCTCTCAGCGGCTTTTGATACCATCGACCATGGTATCATGCTGCAGCGATTGAGGGGGTTAGTAATAGAGGGCACCGTTTTGCGGTGGTTCTCCTCCTTCCTCTCCGACCGCTCGCAGTTCGTGTTGGCAGGGGGACAGAGGTCGACCTCGAGGCGTCTCGCATGGGGAGTGCCGCAAGGGTCGGTCCTCTCGCCCCTCCTGTTCAACATTTATGTGAAGCCGCTGGGTGAGATCATCCGTGGTTTTGGGGTGAAGTGCCATCTGTACGCTGATGATACTCAGCTGTACATCTCCACCCCAGACCACCCCAACGATGCCCTTGATGTGATGTCTCACTGCCTGGAGGCCGTGCGGGTCTCAGACTCAACCCCTCCAAGACCGAGTGGCTGTGGCTTCCGGCGCCCCGATATAGTCAGCAGGTGCCATCGCTGACTATTGGGGGTGAATCTTTGCCCCCCACAGAGAGGGCTCGCAATCTGGGTGTCCTCCTGGACGCGCGGCTGTCTTTAGAAGAGCATATGACAGCCGTGGCCAGGGGGGCCTTTTATCAGGTTCGCCTGATTCGCCAGTTGCAGCCCTTTCTGGATCGGGACACCCTGCGCACGGTCACTCATGCCCTTGTTACTTCCCGGTTGGACTATTGTAATGCTCTCTACATGGGGCTCCCCTTGAAGAGCACTCGGAGGCTCCAACTGGTCCAGAATGCGGCCGCGCGGGTGGTTATGGGCGCAACTCGTTGTGCCCATGTGACACCCCTCCTGCGCGAGCTGCACTGGCTCCCAGTGGTCTTCCAGGTGCGATTCAAGGTGTTGGTTACCACCTTTAAAGCGCTCCATGGCATAGGACCCGGGTACCTCCGAGACCGTCTTCTGCCACCAATAGCCTCCCACCGACCAGTTCGCTCCCACAGAGAGGGTCTCCTCCGGGTGCCATCGGCCAAGTTATGTCGGCTGGCGACACCCAGGGGGAGGACCTTCTCTGTGGGAGCCCCAGCCCTGTGGAACGAACTGCCCCCGGAAATATGTAAGATCTCCGACCTCCGGGTGTTTCGCTGCGCACTGAAGACCCTGTTGTTCCGCCAGGCCGGACTATCAACATAATAGTTTTAAATTGGGGTATTTAAATTTTTTGGGGTTTTAAATCAGAGCCAATTTATTTAATTATTTTAAATTTTAATTGCTGTTTTGTCTGTGTTTTTAAATAGGCTGTACACCGCCCTGAGTCCCTCGGGAGAAGGGCGGTATAGAAATAAAATAATAATAATAATAATAATAATAATTATTATTATATTATTATTATTATTATTATTATTATTATTATTATTATTATTAATGCTCTTCTGAAGATCTTTTTTTAGCAAGTTGCAACATAAAAGCTCAAAAAAACCTTTCATATATTTAATCCTGTAACTGGGCACTCAGTCAAATAGGCATCAAGTAGTTACTGCTCAGAGGAAACAATTATATATTGGATGAAAATGTTCATAAATTTCAATTTTATTTAATTTCATAAATAAAACTGAATAATCTTGTATGGAAAGGTATTTAAATTAACTTTTTATACTAGTGATTTTATTACATTTAGAATTTTAGTGTATTTCCAGAGATGCAGAAGCTTGGCTTGCATTGCAATATGCTCAGTAAAATAATAGAAAATTGATTTTTTATACAGAAATGTTAATTAACCTGAGATGGCCTAACAATCTGAAACTTTTATAATACATTGCTTTATTTGATATTCACTTAAAACATGAATTATCATGACATGCACTTTCCTGAATTTTGCTTTCTTCTCATGGCAGACATCCTTGGGCTCAGTTCTACTTTCAATTCATCCAAGAAAAATGGATTCCTCTGATATTACAGGTCAGAATTGACTCAGATATGTGAGCAGTCAACTTAATTATCTTTGGAAATAGATCTTAGGAATTAGACTGTTTACATGAGAATTATTTTTTGTACATTGCAGCAAGCATAACAAAACCTATTCTTAACTTTCATCACACCATCTTTTACTCACCATCTTCTGCCGAATAGATAATAGCAGTAAGACTAAAAGGTCCTTCCCCTTTGTTATTAAATGCTTTCACCTTTACTTGATACTTTGATGAAGGAAGCATTGATTCATCCTTATGGACATACCGACCAATTTCAGGTTGAGGAACTATAACACTTTTCCAATCATTTTGATCAAAGGACTTGAAAGCTACCACATATCCAAAATTATTACCAAAGTGATACTCTTTTGGCAAAGGCTATAAGACAAAACATAAGAATTATGCATTCCTTTCATTTTAGTTCTTTGTTTGAATGAGTATAAATAAAATTTCAATATTATCATCTACTAGGAGGAATGTTCGCATGAAGATTCTAAGTAAGGAAATACATTTTTTTTTTTTTGCTCAAGGCTTGTCAGGTGGAAAGTTTCTAGATTGTCTTCTTCTTTCTCACAGATAATCTGAAACCATCTTAAAATCACAGATCAAATACTTTCTAAATATAAAATAACTTTTATAAAAGACCTTCTACAATATCAGCTTATATAGTTACCCTCATTTTTTATTCCTCCCCTTACTGTTAGCCTTTATCTCATAATATATAGATTTTGAATACAAATAGATTGAAATGTCTTTATATAATAAAAACTAGTATCAATGATTTGTGCATTTAGAGCTGTAGGCATATATCCAGTATAGATGATTAAATCTGAATTATTACAATGCTATGATTTTACCTAAATAATGATATAGAATGGATCTAGCCCAATAACTCAAAAGACAAGTAGTTATAAGTTTCAGGTATCTTTTATTTCTTGCCTGGCTTGTTCCAGGCCTATCAAGCATAGCACTTACTGACATCAGATCTTTCCATTTACAGGTACGTTCTTGGATCTCATCGATCTCCACGTGGGGAGAGTTCTTATACCTAGGGGGAGGAGCCTAAAGGTAAGGTGTGGTTAAGGGGATGATGGGATGTGTGATCGGTTAACCCTTGCATGGCCCTGGGCCTGTGATTATGGTGAAGTTAGACATTTACCCTGACAAATAAAGTGTGGTACTGACTTTGTATGACCCAAAATATAATAGGTTCTTTTTTAAAAAAAATCTACTCCAAAGGTAGGACCTATTTCTGTTTGCTTTTTCTAAAATAGTTCCATTTTTTAAGACAGATATACACATGTGGATTTTAGTCACTAAAGGTTTTAGAGAGAAGATGAAATAGACATTACAGGAAAAAATAGATGTTGTTTTAAGTTCTACATTCTTTTTAATTGGTACTAAGGAAATATATTAGTGGATATATACAGTAGTAGTGGAAATAACTTTATAACCATTAATTTTATTTCTAAAACAAGATAGCCAATTCTATGAAAGAGCTTTCATAGAATCTCAAAGAAGTCAAATAACTATTTTTTATAGTTATAGAAACATTTCCAAAGTTTTCTTAAAAATATATTTCAACAGTAAAATAACTTGTACATGTTTATTTCTGAAATATTTTAAATATTTTTATTATAATGTGTTTGTCAGACCTGGAAGCCATCTTTTACATTTGGGCCTTCAGGACTGCCACATTTTCTTTTGTGGGAAAATGGGAGGGGGGATTTCATAGAGTATGGGTGATATGTAGTCAAAATAAAATTCCTTTCTCAGAGAGTCAAGGATGCCTTGCCCTGGCACCTGGAGTCGGATGACTGGGAGGTGCCTCCAGTTTGGAAACTTTCAGATTCGGGTTTTCCCAGATGTGCCAATATGACATCTTCAATAAAAAGGAACTTTGAGGAAACTCAAGCCTTGGAGTCTTCTTTCATTGGGGGTATTACTTGGAACCCTGACAGTGTTATTTTAATACGAATTTTTTGTATCAGAATGTAAATGTGGGATAGACAGCATCACTACCAGATGGAATTGTAACTGGCTGACAAACCATATTCACAAGTAGTTTTTAACAATACTACATCTACATGGAAGGAAGGAAGCAGTGGGGTACCAAAAGGTTCCATCTTAGGCCCAGTACTCTTCAATATCTTCATAAATGACTTAGATGATGGACTAGAAGGGGAACTCATCAAATTTTCAGATGACACTAAGCTGACAGGAATAGCCAACATCACAGAAGACAAGCTCAGGATCCAAAAAAAATCTTTACAGACTTGAACAATGGGCCTTATCCAACAAGAGAAATTTATCTTGGATAAAAGCAAGGTTTTACACCTGGGCAAAACCTGATTTAAAAAAGTAAATATGAGAGGGACCTTGGAGTCCTAGTGGACGGACTAGCAGTGAGTTAGTAGTGTTGGCAGCAGCCAAAAAAGCTAATACAATCCTTGGTTGTGTAAGTAGAGGCATAGAATCTAAATCACATGAAGTATTACTACTGCTTTATAAAGTCTTAGTAAGGACACACCTGGAATACTACATCTAGTTTTGGTCACCACATTACAAAAAAGATGTTGAGATTTTGGAAACAGCACAAAGAAGAGCAACTAAATCATATGAAGAATGGTTGCAGGATTTGGGTTTGGCTAGTCTAGAGAAAAGAAGAACTAGTGGGGGACATAGCAATATTCCAGTATTTGAGAGGCTGCCACAAAGAGGAGGTGGTCAATTTATTTTCCAAAGCACAAGAGGGCAGGACAAGAAACAATGGATGGAAACTATTCAAGGAGAGAAGCAACCTGGAATTAAGGAGAAACTTCCTAACCAGTGGAAGAGTTTGCCTTCAGAAGTTTCATCACTGGGGGTTTTTAAGAAGAGATTGGACAGTGACTTGTCTGAAATGGTATAGGTCTCCTGCTTGAGCTGGACTGGACTAGAATAACTCCAAGGCCTCTTCCAGCTCTATTCTGATTGATTGAACAGTTGTAATTGTATAGTCAACAAGCACAGAGCAAATAGAAATATGAACACTCGTAGTAACTTTATTGGTATTAATTTTTACTAATTCTTTATTAAAAGCATCCTTAACTTTAAACTTTTAAAATTATTTAAAATTATAAAATGTAGCTTTCAAATATATACAGACTGAAGGCAATAGTATTCAAGGTCGGTATGGAATATATGATAATTTTCTAACTACCGTGTTTCCCCGAAAATAAGACAGTCTTAATTTCTTTTGAACCACGAAATAAGGGCTTGGCCTTATTATTATCAGGGGGGCCCAGCAGAGAGAGGCTCCCTCTGTGCGCCATCAAGCCCTGCCTGTGCCCATCCTGTGGGGAGAGAACGCGAGTGGCCCAAAGGTGCCAAGCTGAGCGAGCACCTGTTCCCTCCCCCGCTTGCACGCCTCCCAGGCCTCACCATGTTCATTGGGTGAAGCTGGTGAGCACCTGGCTGGAAGCCCCTGGAAGCAGAGAAGACGCCGGTCAGACCAGCCACCTGCTGCCAAGTCTTCCAGGAGCCGGGGCAGAGAGTCTTATGGCAGCCGGGCCAGAGAGATGGCGAAGGGCGAAGTCAGCTGCAGCTCTGCATGGGGAGACCGCGCTACTGCCGCCACCATCTGAACACTGAAGATGGCTTCCTCTGTGGTTTCCAAACCCCAGCTGGAAGCCGCTGGAAGCGGAGAAGAAGCCGGTCAGGCCAGCTGCCTACTGTTGAGTCTTCTGGGAGCCGGGACAGCCACATGGAGTTGGAACCATAGAGTGGGAAGCGCATAAAAAGGAGTAAAAAATAAAATATTGTCATGTCACATTTAGTTCCATTATATTCAGTGGTGTGTCAGCTTTGGAAGCCATATTAACACCAGAAGCTTCCACGCTGCCAACTTTTTGCACTTGGGAAAGTAGGAGGGAGGATTCAGTAGAGTGATTGTAGTTAGACATAATAGCATTCTTCCCTTCAGTCAAGGTCATGGTTTTCCTGCATCTGGAGGAGGAGTGGTTGCAGTGATGGCTCAAGTTGGGATGGATGGTGATTGGGCCATGTGATGGACTGATGGGTGCAGGGGTTGGATTTGGGGTTTTGATTTACTGAGGGAAAACCTGGAACTCTCAAATTTTTATTCCAATAAATGAAAGTTTTGAGATGATGCTTGTCTCGGAATTTTCTACTGGAGTTGGGTTGTTCTGGAACCCTGACATGATGTGATTCAGCCTGTTCAGGCCGGTTTGGGCAAACCAGTAGTTAAATTGCTGGCTGGCCCTGCCCCACCCCGTCCCTTCCAGGAGTCCCCACGTGCCCCATTTTGGTTCTCATGTAAGTGCAGGGAGGCCTATTAGGCCCAAAACGGGGAGCAGGGAAATGGTGCACCCCCCACAGCCCATTTTCACTCTCAGGAGGCTTCAGGGAGGCCTCCTAGGCCCAAAACAGGGTGCAGAGGGATGTGGCCCAGCTTGCTAGCCTGCCTTCCCTGTGGCCTTCCCTGTGGCCCAGCTACTTGCCTGTCTGGTGAGCCTTCCTTTGCCTGTTTGCCAGCAATAACAGCCTGTTACAGGGTCTTCCTAGGGCTCCCCGGCCTGTTAAAGGCTGAAATGGAGGGTCCCTGGCCCCGATCTGCCCTTCCAGGCCCCATCCAGGCCTTCCTAGGGCTTCCCCAGCCTCTTACAGGCCGAAATGGAGGGTTCCTGGCCCTGATCCGCCCTCCCCACCCCATTTCCCATGGCTTTACTTACTTTTCGAAAGAGTTGCAGAAGAGGCTAAGCCAGGTGGCAGAGAAGCCAGTCTTTTATTCAGAAGTTGGTGAAGCTATAAGAATGTGAGATGTAAGGAAAATAGCTTTCCCCATCTGAATAAAAGACTTCAGCTTCTCTGCCAGGCTTAGTTTTTACCCAGTCTGGTCAGGCTTAGTTTGGGCCCAGTCTGCTTGCTGCTGACTGGCTAATTCGAATGAGCAGCTTCAGGGATTGGGCCATGGCAACCAATCAACAAGGGCCTTGCAGTTCAGCCCAATGAGACAAAGGAAGCTACCTCCCCTTTCATTGGCTGCTGCTGTTGCTGCCTCAATCCCTGAAGCAGGAAGCTGCTGCTTCCAGGCCTAGGCCTGCTGGCCACATGGCCCCGGCTGAAGTCTTTTATTCAGAAGCTGGTAAAAATGTTTTTCTTAGATTTCACATTCTTACAGATTTGCCATCATCTGAATAAAACACTTTGGCTTCTCTACCAGTGGGTCAGCCTCTTCTGGACCTCTGGAGATCTTCAAAAAAAGTAAGATCTTCAAAAAGTAAGTAATAAAATAAATGGCATGATTATCATTTCCATTATTTTCAGTGGGAAGTAAAGGTAATTAAGTTAGCATGAATGTAACCTATTAAGATTAT